CATTGCTTATTTGGGGTTATAAGTGATTTTTTGAAATTTTTTGAAGTTCAATTATTGTGATCGATGGAATTATGTGCGCGAAATGGATTTCAATTTTGATGCAAGAAGTGCTTTATAATCAGTTTTTACTAAATTAAAAAAATCTCAAAACTGCTTTGTATTTGTTTTCTGATGTGTATGGTAATGTTGGTTGAGTTTGAATTCATGCTGCATATAGCCTTTGTGCAATTTAATGTAAATATGGCTGATATTGTTGTACTGAGAGGTCTTTAGGACTGTTTTCTATTGATTCTGTTCGAAGTGCCTAAGTGGGTTGAGACTTGAGGTCTTTGTTTCATTTGAGTGACTGATCAAACTTTTGCAGCTAGCAGTGACTTGAAAAGAAAAAAAAGGCAAAGCTAAGTTTTAGTTTTTTGTTTTGAACAAGTGGTAAAGAGAGAGCTTGTGAGCGTTAGAGAACTATTGTTCCTAAATTTCTTCCAACATTTTAGCTCATGGTTACTTACTGAATATGCATTGTACTGATCCTGAGATTCAATTGTTGTGCTTCATATTATTGTTTCAATCAAATTGAAGCCGAATTTGGGGGGATATAAAATTACTTGATTGTGTACTTCTAGTTAATGTTGGATATGTCTCTGTCCCTACTTCTTTCTTAGTTTAATATTATAAATTTATTATGTGTAAATTTGATCTATCTTAGGTTGTGATTACAAGCATAAATATAGATGGTAATTTTTCCTAATTTAAAGGGTACTTGCTTGGTGTGTATGTGGAAACTTGTTTGTGCGTTTCTATTTAATGTTACATATGTTTTGCTTGTTGGTCATTCTATTGTTAAAACAAAAAAAGATGTTCATTCTAGAATTTTCAAAATGCAGTCACTGTTTTGGGAACTTTTATTGCTGGAATACATTTACTTGTCAAATTATGCTTCTTATTTGAATGCTTAGTTAGATATGACATTGTTGTGCCCTTTATTATTTATTCTTCCAAAAAAAAGAAAGGAAGATTGATTATTTTCTTGTATGCCAAAAGTTTCTAAATGGTCTGTTTTTTTACTAACTTTAATGATTCTTGCCAAAAGTGAAAACCTTTTATGATTATTCCCTAATGAAATAAATGTAGACTTTATTATAGTTTATGACAAGATTTCTTTTGACAATGTACTTTACACAATTTTTACTTTAATATTAATCATGTGATAGGGTCCGTTTCTTGAGCAATTCAAGATTGTGATTCTTAAAATTCCTGCATATTTACTGCGATAAACTAATGTTAGAATATATATATATATATATATATTTGTTAGTTCTATGTCCCTTAATTTTATTTTTTTTGTTGGTTTAAACCATTGATGAAGATGTTACTTTATAATTATACAACAGCATATTAGAACATAACCTTAAATGATGGGGAACCCATCTTGTGGGTTTATTCTTTTTTACTAGATAGGCCAATAATCACTTCTACAATCACTTCTCCATATAATTATTTTAAATGATTTTAAGTGATTTTATGGGCTTGTGCTTCTCCCCAAAATCACTTAAAATCACTAAAAGTGATTATATAGATAAGCACGTGGGAGATGCTTCTCCCCAGAAGTGATTTTGGCCTATCTAGAAACACTTCCAAACGAGCCTTAAACCTCGTTTGCAATAAGGGTAATATTTAAGTAATCATAACAATTACATAATTCCCCTTCTTATCATAAATTCATCTTAGACGTTCCATCAAGGTACATAATTTGATTTCTAATCAAAGTATATACTATTATATACATAGAACATCTTCTTCCGCTCCCTTTGACCTTGTGCACTCTGATATTTGGGGTAAAGCTCCAATTTCCTCCATGGGAGGTGCTTTATTTTTGGTGAAAACCAAGGTATCCCCCGCGCGATTGCGGGGACTAACCCTCGAGGTACTGTCGGGCGCAAAGCGGGGACCTCTACATCTGGACATATTTATTACGTTCTCGTTGAGATTTTCTTAACTATAGAAGAGAAGATATATTATGTTTTATTTGTAGATGATTACTCTCGCTACATCTGGACATATTTATTACGTTCTCGTTGAGATTTTCTTAACTATAGAAGAGAAGATATTGCTATGTAACAAATTAGAGCTCATCTTCTGCCTTCTTTCGTTGGTCAACTTCTTGAATTTTTTTGCCAGCATCTTCTGGCTTAGTAACAGGAAAATGATGCTCTACCCAAGCAAGATAGCCTCCTCCCATGTTGTTCACATGCTTGAAACCCTGTCATTTCATTTACAAGCTTCTAAAAATTTGAGGAAAAGGAAAGAACATAAATGACCATAGCAAAATATTTATAGGCTGTTTTGAATTTTGATTGCTTTCTTCAACATGGCATGAAAAAGTGCAAGAACTTGTGAATTTGGGTGAAATACCAAGTGTACTTACAGCAGTCAGAAGATCAGCAGTTGCAGAAAGAGATCTGACCCCACTTTGACAACCCTGTAAATATATAATCTCACAGTCAGACACCAGAAGAAATTGATGTAGTTTGCTCCAAAAGCTACTAGCTTACCACAACAAGAAGGTCCTCTTTGTTGCAAGCAGATGAAACCTCCTGCAAAAATTGGGGATTTTTTACCCTCCCTGAAGGCCAAAACCACATGAAATTTCATCAATTTCAAAGTAAACACAGAAATTGAAACTAAGTAAAAAAAAAAAGAAGCTAATCTACTAATTGAAGTTACAGCCACCTTCAGGTGTATTGAAGAGGTAAGGAATGTTTAAAATCTTCTCTGCATCCACATGCCCTTTCTTGTACTCCTCCACCGTCCTATCACAAACAACATTAACTCAACTAATATTCCTTTTAATGAAAAAGAAACCCAATTGGAAGTTTGAAACAACTCTCAGTCTCTCATAAAGTTCATTAATTTCAGGAAAAAAAAAGTATTTTTTCTTTTTTTTTTTGGGAAAAGAGAGCCCTTTACCTGACATCCATATAACCATAGCCAGACTTGAGCAGATCCTTGGCAGCTTGAACATCAATGGTGACGACCTCTGATCCCGAGCTACAAAATAACAGGGGAAACAGAGCAACAAACCCACAAGACAACCCAAACCAAGAAAAACCCATATCAGAATATGCAAAAAGGAACTCCAAGAAAGTAATTTGCTGAAAATTTAGACTGAAAAAAGTCACCTGTCAACAGAACCCATGAAGAAAAGTTGGTGGTATATATAGAGCAGCTTGGTTTCTAAGAGCTGGTAGCTGTTTGCGTGGAAAACTAGCTGAAGGAAGTTAGAAAACGTGGGCTGAGGATTGATACTGTTGGTGTAGCTGTTTGTGTCGACTGGTTTAGCGGTTCATTTTCTGTGGGGAAGAGTGCCTTATATATGTGGAGCTAAAGCTACGTACGGTTCCAGTCATCCGGGGCCACATTACGTCGTGCCACCTAACCTAAGGGTGAGAACCCAACTTTGATGTGAAGGAAAACAAAATCGAATACTTTTTTAGCATCCATTTATTCGTAGATTGTGTTGTGTGTGGTGGCAATTTTGTATCTCAGTTATATCATGGAATTTTTTATCTGCTGTTTTAGTTAGAGACTTGTGAAGATTTATTCTCATTCCAATTTTGCAATTTGGTTATATACAGATATGAAGTGACATTATTAGGAACCTAATGAAATTTTACACAATTCGCATGATCTTGATGTGGTTGATGAAGAAAGCTTTGGAGCGAATCAAGTAGGGAACACACTCATTTGAACGAGGACAATGCTATGAAATTAGTGATGCTAGATATTATATAGCTAGAGCAATGTGGATGGATTCATGATCATTAGTCTTAGAATTTATTTAGTCTAGAATATTTTAATTTAATATGTATTATTTAAGACTTGAAGATCAATTGAGCTTAACAATTATATATGTATGGTATTAAAATGTAGATTTTAAAATTAGTATGTTTAGTATAATTTCAATAATTTTTATCAATCGTATAAAAAAAATAATGTTTATCAATACTTTAATTCAACAAAAATGAAAAAAAAAAATTCAAGAATTCAACCAAACAACTTTTCAAATTTTAAAGATTAAAAACAATTTTCAAGTTGTATACCAAACAAATTTTTAAATCTTAAAAAATGGATTTGAGAACTCCTTGTTTTTTTTAGAATAATCAAAGTTTTTTAGTTCCTTATTTGGATAGGATACCAAACACCCCCTTAATCGCTTAAAGTTTTTGAGTTCCTTTATTTTAAATCTTAACAAGTTAATTATTGGAGGTTTGCTATTTATGTGACAATTAATTTTGTTTTGATTTCCGGAATGTTGGGATTCTTAAGGTTAATTTTCTTTGTTTTCATAAAAAAAAGGTGGGGTTTTGTTGTCGAAAGGGAGGGAGATTCGGTTTTGGAATTCAAATTTGAGATCTCCTCTAATATTGGAAAAATAAATATTACTAGGTGAAAAGCTAGTTAGTCTTAAAGAAAATAGTTTAGCTTCACTAAAAGATTTTAGTTAACCTTTGTAGTTAATTTGTATGCCTATAATTTAAACAAAACATAAAAATTTCTAGAGTATTTTATATGAAACGAAATAAAACTGCATAAATTTTAAATAATTTGTTATACATAGTTATGTCTAACATATTTGTAGCCAACGGAGTCTAATTCAAGTTAGAATCCGCACGATATCATAGTTGTGCATGTGTAAAAAAATCCCGCTATTGTGTAATTCAGTCTATCACTTGTACGTTAGAAAAATATCTAACATATTTATATGGTTCTTCCAACGAACATGCCGGAGAATCAGAATATTGTATTTTCACTTGATTTGCGTCACTTTAACAATGGATTTGGCTCTTTTGGAAGCAACAACAAAATCCACTAACGCATCCCTTGATAGGGCAAATTGCTCATGAGCGTTTATTTTAAGCGATGTCGAAATTATTGTTGTAACCAAACTGTTGGACCACATGCTTGTATTGAATCGAAGCCGACTAACATACTAGATACATTTAGACCTAAAATATACAACAGTGCAAATCCTAGTGTGCAAACCATTCAAGAGCAGAGCTGTTAGCAATGGGTTCCCTTGCTGCTTTGGCAGTGGCTGGGGCAAAACTACACTCGAGCTTCAGACAATATACAGGGGCACAAAACTTTGTCCCCTTTGGCTTAGCTTGTAGATCACATCAAGGATTTTGCACAGGAGAGAGCACTGATGACCTTTACATTCGAGTTGCATCGGACAAGTTTTCACTGAAATTTTGAACAGCAAACTTTATTGATATGTTCATAAAAGTGCAGACAAATATCATCTAGACGTCTCTTCAATCCACGCAATGAAACACATTCAGGTGGAGTTCATATAGACATCCATAATAAACGGGAGGGAACCCTGAAAAGGATAAAACAAGGTTGAATGTAACAATGCTGTTAAAGACAGAACAACCTTGGGGAGGATTCAGACTAGCAAGTATTTGAAAATCCAAAGAATTTCTTTCACTTTTATACTTTAAAATGATATAGATTTGTAAAATGATTTCACTTTTGAGGGAAAACTACATTCAAAATACAAGACAATTAATTTCCATACCTTGACAAGTCATATTTTCCATTCACTAACTGTACAACCAGGTCCTTCTTTTGATCTGCAAGAAGAAAATAACCAAACTTCAGTATAATAAACCACATCAGGTATTGGCCATTAAAAACCATATAGGTTAATAACTTATCCTCAACCCCATAGACCAGGATGTCTTTCCTCACCAAAGAAAATTACTACTAAATTGGCCAAATATCAAACTAAGGACTGCAATTTCAATAATAATAGTGACTCCACAGCCTGAACTATTCAAGAAACTAAAGAAGATTCAGCCATCAAACACTAAGTGAGGATGGACCAAATTCTCTTACCTCGGGATTCACAATTTTGGTTCTCATATCATGCTTGCACACTGGGCAGAATGTCCCCCATTTTGTCAGCCATGAATCCACGCAGCTTGAATGAAATTCTGCAAGTAGCTCTCAGGTTTATTAACAGAAATATACAAATTTCGATTGAGAAGGTGAGGAAGTAAATGCTAACTACGTTCCACCTTTTGAGTACGGTCAAAGTCAATTACCTACTATGATGATAGGCATGTCCCTAACCCTATAACCAACATTAGAATTTGACAACATTTGAACAATCAAACCATTAAGATAATACTTCTAGTTATCTGTACTTTTAATTGGACATGGGGAGAAATAGAATAGCTGCTTCTTTGAGTTCTTTCTTCTTAGATTGGACGCAACGCAATAATATTTGCCACAAGAATTACAGTTGCACATGTCCACAATGTGCAAGAGCATATTATAATACCTCAAGTTCTTCTACAATGTGATTTATGAACAGGTGGAAGTCTTCTGAGATATCATGACACATCAAGGTAAGCTGTTATCTTATGGGACTTTCCTAATATGCAGATGCAAACATACACTACACTGTCAACAGCTTTGCGGCTTGATGTGACTGATACTAAAACTATGATGAAAATTCCAGGGATATCAACATGAACATCTCAAACCTTACCATGTTGGCAGGGAAGAACTTTAAGAATTTCCTCATCTTTGTAATTCTCAAGGCAGATGGCACAAGATTCTTCACTGTGGCATTCACCCAAACCAGTGGAACTGAATGTGAAGCAAGGTAGAGCTTCCACAATCTTGGTATCCACACTTTTAGGAAGCTGGTTTCTTCCTCGAGAATAGAGCCAGTGTCTCGGAGCAAAGATGGCTATTATAAGGATACCCAATATGACAAGAAATGAGATAAAAGATATAGCTAGAACCGTCCAAGCTGTTTCATTTTGAAATGGGAAGATGCAGCATTCCCCTTCTTCCCCTAGAGCATGCTCCTTTAACAGTTCACCAGATGCTTTCGAAACAAATACAGCTTGAATTGTAACATTCACACTCTCTATCATCACTGCAAATAGAGGACAGCAATCATTATAAATTTATAACAGTTAAACATTTATCCACATTTCATAGAAGGCAAAGGGTAACATGTATGAAACAATATACGGATTCCAATACAATCTTTAAATATATATGAACAACCCAATAAATGTGAAAACACATGAAAAAAATTTGAAGGGACAGAGCGACTCACTGTAGATCAATTTGCCTTTATCTCTATCGTCATAAACAATAGCACCATGAAATCCAGCATTTTGAGCATTTTGGACTTTATCCTTGAAAGCACATTCACCTCTAACTATCAGAGCAAACCTTGTTTTATCAGTTTCATTTGGTCGAAGTCCATTGCGTAGAGATGAGCAGGCGTCCAAAGGGTCTGATATAAGCAAAGCTCCACATATACCAGAGCTATTGACACCAATAGCTATTAAACGAAAAATCAAGAGCAAAAATAGAAAGAAAAAAAAAAGAATAATGTGTTCAGATCTCAATGCTTAGCAAAAGTAATTAATAAAACAACCGAAAAATTAGAAATTTGTATTATAAAATCTAAAGCTGACTTCAACCCAAGAAATAAAAAAATGAAAATCAGATTACTTTTTCTACATTTTCTCAGCAAGCAAATGGCAAAAGATGGAAAGTTACTAAATTTGGCGGGAAGGTCCGAGAACGCCCAGGCAAATGGTTTGAGAACGACAATAGCTGAGGTTAGTTGGAGAAGGTGAGCAAAAACAAGCAAACATAATCCCAGAAAAGCTTGCCTCATCTTTCTCTTTCACAGCTCTAATTACCTAAAACACAAAATCACAAAAACAAAAAAACAAGTTTATTGGGTTTAGACGCTTGAATTTCTGTGAAATTTAACAAATCAACGATCAACAATTCGAATAAACCGAAAATTTGAAAGCAGAAAATAAACATACCGATACAGTGAGGTTTTAAGAAAACTGAGACTGAAAACCCCACGCAATTGAGAAATTGCAGTGTCAACTTCTCGACAGCATTTCACTATTTTTTACTTGTATTTTTTATTATTCTGTATTGTTGAGCCAGACGGTGCCGTTTCGGCTAACCTAAATAAAGCGCGGTCTTTTTATCAGTAACCATTGGGCTAGCCGTCAAAGTTAAAAAAGCTTCGTTTTTTAAACTCTCAGATTGATTTCAGTTGAAGTCCCTGAGAAAAGCTTGAGCCTGCGAGTTTCATGGAAGAAGAAGCTTCGAACGCAGCGTTGCCAGGCGGCTTCCTCGATTTTCTGAAAGCGAATGGTTTAGACCCTTCCATTTATGCCGAGAGTCATTCGACCCCTCGTTACATAAGGTGCTCTCTCTGAATTTATACTTATTTTTCTGTTTTTGATTGTGCTTTTGTTATTGAAGAGTTCGATTTTGATGGGTTTTTTTCCTTTGGATTTTTGTTGCTCTGTTTTTGGTGTAACCGAAAGGCTAAAGCCTGGTTGCGAAGCTCAAATTGAAGAAATTGAAGGTGAAATCAAGTGCAAGCTTGAAAAAGTGGATTGGCTGCCTGGCTTTTGTGCTCTTCCTCCCGACGTTCAAATCGCTAACTCAAATGCATACAGAGAAGGGAAGGTGAGCGAAAAGATCAAGCCATTGCTTTCTTTAATTTTTAAGCAAGAAATCCCAAATTCTAATTGCAATGTCTTACTTTTGCGTTTGTTTTTATGTTTTAGATGTATGGAATCGATGCGGCGTCTGGAGCTGCTGTTTCAGCATTGAATATCTCAGCTGGAGATCATGTTCTTGATCTTTGTGCTGCTCCTGGTAAGTTAGTTTCTGGTTTCTGTTGCAATGAGTAAACTTTAATGTGTATAAGTGTGTAAGTGTATCAGATTTTTTGCACCAGTTTAGCAATATATGTTGCGTAATGAGGAAAGGCGACTAATTTTTGTGCTGTTATGCTTAACTAATTATGCTCTTAAATTTTAAAACATGAACTATAGGAGTGGCTGCAAAATTGCAAAAACACTTAATTTTAGAAATTTAAACTTGAAAGGTTTAGAATTTATAAAATAGCCAGAAAAAAGAAGATGTAATTCACAGCATTCGTGTGAGAGTTTATGTGATTCAGTTACACTGATGATTTTTGTTTCTGAAGAATTGCTCATTTTTATCGTGTATAATTTATATCCAGGTGCTAAGCTTTGTCTGATATTGGACATTCTTGGTGATTCTGGTTCTGTAACTGGTGTTGATGTTTCAAGCCATCGTTTAGCGGCTTGTAGGACAATGTTGCAGAAATATGCATTGGGCAATCACTGCCGACTATTTGTTGCTGATGGGACAACCTTTTCCCTCGTGCCCATGAGAATTCATTCCGATCCAAAATCATGTAACTGATCTGAATCCACATATACCAGAAGCTTCATATGTGATACTGTGAAATCCTTCAGAGTGCAGTTTGCAAGCATATGCTATTTTTAATATGTTATCATTCTATCTAGAATTACGCAGGTGAATCTGCTTTGGAAGAAAATGTGACATTCAAGGAGTGGACATCTCGGAGACCATGGAAAGAAAGGAAAAAAGCAGCTAGGGTAAGAAAAAGTGGCGCTGTGCATTCAGGAAATCAACTTCCAGAGCTCATTTATTATGGTCGCCACTCTGGTGTGGTTGGACTGAATAAAAGTGAATTGTACCAAACATTTCGTGACAGTGAGCTTTTGAGCTGTGGCTATGACAAGGTGAAACTGGATTTTGATTCTTTGTTTTAACCTGCGTTTTCACATCTCCTTCACCTTTTTCTATTTCCCTACTTTTTTGACAAGTAATAACACCTTTTTAGTATCAGTTATGTTACCTTTTGTAGTTTAACATCTTTTCTAGGTTGGTTGGATTCTTCTAAGCTGGCTATCTTATTTCAGGTCCTAGTGGATGCAGAATGCACTCATGATGGATCAATTAAACATGTCCAAAAGTTTGAACATTGGGGATGGGAAACTCTTCAACGACGTGTATTGGATGCAGAGAGAAGTGATAGCCTCACTGTGCTTCAGGTATCTGATTTAATTTCGCTTAAATGTATTTGTCAACTATGCTACTTTGTTTATGTCGAAGTTCCAATTGATGGAGGAAACAACAATTGCATATCCATCCAATGGAGTTTCTTACATTTTCTCATAAGATTGTGCAAGACTAAATAATTCAGTTTACATCCTATATAACAAGTTAGAAGCTAAAGCTAATACTCTTAGTAAGAGTACTGAAGAAGGTAGAAGTTTGAAAGTTTTACATCCCATAGAATCCTAATCTACTAATGTAATTTTTCTCATATGCATTTCGTGGCAGAATTCTTGCTTTCTTATTCATGTCCCGTTTGATTGGCGTGCGTGCTTAGTAAAGTGATGATAATATGTGTCTTTTGCTTGCAGTTAAAGCTCCTAACCAATGGTTTTAGATTGCTAAAAGCTGGGGGACTTCTTGTTTATAGCACTTGCAGGTGCTTTTCGTTGGCTGTTCCTTGAACTTTTGGTAACTTACACATAAGGTATCTGCCTATATCGCTAATTTTTCTTTTCCTATTGATTAGCTTGACAGTTGCTCAGAATGAAGACGTCGTAAAGCAGTTTCTTGAGGAAAATCCGTTTGCTGGTAAAGTCTTTTGTGCTTTGTGATATTATCAGTGATGGTTTCAAGTATTTTACAGCCTGCAACTTATGTTAGTGTAGTTACGAACTTACGAGCTATATACAATGACTTCTCATTTTACCTGTTGACTGATTGAAGCCTTCATGTTCCGCAGAGTTGCAGGCGATAGATGGTGCTGAAAATTGGCCAAGCAAGAACGGACAACTACCAAATACCCTGCGCTTTGATCCCTTGACTTCAAAAACTAGTGGACTTTTTGTTGCAAAGTTCTCAAAATTGGCCATTTAATCTGGTTTTAGATGTTCAAGAGCCCGAGTAATAGTCCATGTCAATGTCAAGTGGCATGGGGGGGTTAGACATCTTTGATGGCACTTCGGGCGTTATCTTTGTGATGGAATATATTTGTACCTCATCGACTCTTTTTATATTCTTTTAACGATACAACCAATAGTTTAAACAGTAATCCAATTTATTTGAGGGAATTCGAACTTGGATTCGAGACAGCGGATTTATTGCCCTACCAAACTAGTCTAACTTAAGTCTGCTACATGAAAACTAAAATGAATTGGAAATTCAATTTGAGATGCCAATATACGTGACCACGTTTAAGGGATTCCAAAATATCCATCTTTAGACTGTTGGTTTGCGCAAAACTAAATCGGATTCTTGTTCAAATAATTTTCTAACCTAGAAATTGGATTTTATTTCCCAATCATCGCACGTGTTTGTGAAGCCTGAATCCTGAAATGCATGTCGCCTGAAATCAGTACAGATTCAGTGACGACATTAACAACCATTTCAATTATTAGCAAACCTCCAAACTTTAAACAGTCACCACTGACATCTCTTGATTAAATTGTCTGTCTTAAACGCCTACTAGACGAATTTTCAACTACTCCTCAGAATTTTAATTTATTTCATTAGACACCAGGCAGGCACACACAGGCCATGATCGACGCCTGGAGGAAGCAACAAGATGAATAGCGAACAAGAAATCTCAACTCCTCTTAGTAACAACTAACTTTACAACTCCACCTTTAATTTTTCCTTTTTCGCTTCCATTTATCTATCTCCTAACTAATTTTCCCTCCATTTTTCTAACTACCAACTGCTTCACAGTTCACAGCAACAAGACCGATGGCTCCGCTTCACGACCGCCGCGGGAGGAGTTTTCCGGCGACGAAAACTCTCCGATCGAGCAAGTCGCCCTCACGGTTCCGGTCACCGACGATCCCTCTCTCCCGACCGTCACTTTCCGGACTTGGACGCTTGGAGCCCTCGCGTGCGTTCTGCTTTCCTTCCTCAACCAGTTCTTCTGGTACCGCCGGGAGCCTCTCTCCCTCACCTCGATCTCGGCTCAGATCGCGGTGGTCCCGCTCGGCCACCTCATGGCATCGCTGATTACGAAACGTGTTTTCTTCAAGGGGCAAAAATGGGAATTCACGCTCAATCCGGGCCCCTTCAATGTCAAGGAGCACGTGCTCATCACCATCTTCGCCAACTCCGGGGCCGGCAACGTCTACGCCATTCATATAGTGAGCACTATAAAGCTTTTTTACAAGAAGAACCTGTCGTTTTTTGTTGCGCTGCTTGTCGTTTTGACTACCCAGGTGCTCGGGTTCGGCTGGGCCGGGTTGTTCCGCCGTTACTTGGTGGAACCCGCCGCTATGTGGTGGCCTCAAAACCTCGTTCAGGTTTCACTATTCAGGTGACGTCCTTTCTTTTCTTCCTTTTGCCACGTGTTGTTCTGTTAGTGGACATTTAGTTATCGTTCTGTTCACGTTCGTTGACTATTCAAGCAGGTGCTCCCTATACTATCTGTGGGCCTAGCCATGGGTCTAAGCCTGGGTCCGGGCCAGAGAATTATAGAAGCCTTGTGCATAGGATCCGTTTTGAGCCCATTAAATTACCTGTCAAAATAAATAATATATACTTTTTGTAATTTATAAGTAGGGAGAATCTATCTCTATACATTTGGAAGTAAAAATACTACTAAATCAGTCATAACAAAGCCTAGATATATTAATGAGTTCATCCGATCATCACTGTATCATTATATGATGTGACATATATTTACAGTCCTTATAAATAAATAAATAAGTTCTCAAATATTATGACCAAACAAAATACTTTATGTCATTTGTCAATTGGGGTCTAAAAACTTAGGATAAGAATTGGTGACTCTAATATTAGTTGGTTAAAAAATCTGGGCTCCCAAGCACTACTCAATTAAGTTTTTCTACTGGTCTTGCTTGCTGCAGTGTTTTTTGTAGAGTAATGTTGTCACTGATACAAATATTAACTATGAACAAGAATGTTGGGGAAAGTAACGACTGTTTCATCTAAACTGTGTGCATGTTATGTATTTGTGAGTGGACAGGGCACTGCATGAGAAAGAGGAGAGGCCAAAGGGTGGGCTAACAAGGAACCAGTTCTTCCTCATTGCTTTCACTTGCAGCTTTGCTTACTATGTCCTTCCAGGCTACCTCTTCCCAATGTTGACTTCCCTTTCCTGGATTTGCTGGATATTCCCTACTTCCATCCTTGCTCATCAGCTAGGTTCAGGGCTGCATGGTCTCGGCATTGGCGCAATCGGGCTTGATTGGTCCAGTATATCCTCTTATCTTGGGAGCCCACTCGCCAGTCCATGGTTTGCTACGGCCAACATTGCTGCTGGTTTTTTCCTCGTGTTGTATGTCATAACTCCTCTGGCTTATTGGCTCAATTTATATAATGCCAAAACTTTTCCCATATTCTCGGATGGTCTGTTCACATCTACTGGCCAGAGCTACAACATATCAGCTATAATAGACCCCAACTTCCGCCTTGACATTGATGCATATGAGCGAGAGGGCCCTCTCCATATCAGCACCTTCTTTGCTATATATTACGGTGTCAATTTTGCCTGCCTTACTGCCACTATTGTTCATGTTCTCCTTTTCAATGGGAGGTAAGCCGCACTCTCCAGGTTGAACTGTTGCCTTAAACATTATAATGCTGTCTTTTCAATTTTGTCCAATGGACATCACTTGCATATATATATATATATATATATATATATATATATATATATATATATATATATATATATATATATATATATATATATATATATATATATATATATATATATATATATATATATATATATAGCTTTAAATATAGTGTAAGGTGAACTAGCTTATATATTGCTCTACATTTTGTTGTCGGGCCTTAATTTTTGAACATTGCAGAGACATCTGGCAGCTAAGCACGTCTGCCTTCCGCGAGAAGAAGATGGATGTGCACACGAAGCTCATGAGAAAATATAAGCAAGTTCCTGGATGGTGGTTCATGTGCATCCTGGTGGCTAACATAGTAGCGACCATATTTACATGCCATTATTACAACGATCAACTTCAATTGAAATGGTGGGGGGTCTTGCTTGCTTGTGGTCTAGCCTTGTTTTTCACTCTTCCTATTGGAGTCATTACTGCCACAACAAATCAGGTAGAGTATCACGCTCTTTCTCATATTCTGCATTTTTGCGTTCACCTGGGATGTTCTTTACCTTTCTATCTACTCACCATCAGCAAATGTAGCTGAACATGGAATCTCATATTCAGCCTGTGGTTAAATTTATGAAGCTGACATGCTTTGGCCCCTATGGGGATTCCCTGGAGCCTATTTCCATAGGCATGAATAGGGTTCAAATTCCAACCGTGTCCCTTAAAAGTTTACCATGTTCTGTTTAATTCTGGTACCCCATGCTTCTACCTAGTTTTGCATTGTTATTGCTCATGAACAATCTTTTCATTGGTGAACAGAAACCAGCGTTGAATGTGATCACAGAGTACATTATCGGGTATCTGTATCCAGGATATCCAGTTGCTAACGTATGCTTTAAAGTTTATGGATACATAAGCATGAAGCAGGGGATCGCTTTTCTGGAAGACTTCAAGCTTGGACACTACATGAAGATTCCTCCAAGAGCAATGTTCATGGCACAGGTTAGCTAGCTTCCCATGTCTTCCTCTTATCAAACACTTTAAGACCTAAAAAATGAACTTTGTGAAGTTTCATCAAGTTTCTGGTCCATGGATGGATTGATGGATGAAACATGGTCCCGTAATAATTCAGGAACAATTTGTTTTCAGGTAGTTGGTACTATTATAGCAGCATTCGTCCATTTAGGAACTGCATGGTGGCTTATGAACACAATCCCAGACATATGCGACAGGGCGTTACTACCAGCAGACAGTCCATGGACTTGCCCTGGTGATCATGTCTTCTATGATGCTTCTGTTATTTGGGGTCTTGTTGGGCCTCGAAGAATCTTCGGGGATCTTGGCTATTATTCTGCCATGAACTGGTTTTTCTTAGGTGGGGCTATAGCTCCTGTCCTAGTTTGGCTTGCACACAAGGCCTTCCCAAGAAAACCTTGGATTAAACTTATCACCATGCCTGTGCTCTTAGGAGCAACAGTCAACATGCCTCCAGCTACTGCTGTCAATTTCACCAGCTGGGTTCTCATTGGATTCGCCTCAGGCTTTATCGCTTACAGGTATTATCGTGGCTTGTGGAGCCGCCACAACTATGTTCTATCCGGAGCTCTAGATGCTGGATTAGCTTTCATGGCGGTAATTTTGTATTTGTGTCTGGGGAAGGAACATGTTAGCTTGACGTGGTGGGGAAGTAGCCCAGATGGTTGTCCCTTGGCTTCTTCCTCAACAGCATGAGGGGTAGTGGAACTTAAAACCTGCCCAATACTAGGAGAAAACTTGTGTGTTCAGCTGTTTGATTTGAATGTATTGATATGTATAATTCTTCGCTTAGGATAGAATTGTAAATAATTTCATTGGAAATTTCTTATTGATCATTAATATTAAATATCAATTCATTTGATTTTGATATTATACAATCTAGTCAAAATCAAATGCATGGATTGGAAATTCAATTTGAGATGCCAATATACGTGACCACGTTCTAAGGATTCCAAAATATCCATCTCTAGACTGTTGGTTTGTGCAAAACTGAATCGGATTCTTGTTTAAATAATTTTCTAACCTTGAAATTGGATTTTATTTCCCAATCCTCGCACGTGTGTTTGTGAAGCCTGAATCTGAAATGTATGTCCCCTGAAATCAGTGCAGATTCAGTGACGACCATAACAACCATTTGAATTATTAGCAAGCCTCCAAGCTTTAACAGTCACCACCACTGACATGACCTCTCTTGATTAAATTGTCTTACTTAAACAAACACTAGACTAATTTTCAACTACTCCTCATAATTTTAATTTAATTTAATTAATTAGACACCAGGCAGGCACACACAGGCCATGATCGACGCCTGGTGAAAGCAACAAGATGACTAACGAACACCAAATCTCAGCTCCTCTTAGTAACAACTAACTTTACATTTTTCTTTTTCGCTTCCATTTATCTATCTCCGAAC